TTGGGCCTAATTGAACGGAGGAATTATGGTGTTCTTCTGTAGCCTGACGACGAGTAACTTTAAAGTTTTCATGTGAACTCAAAGACAGCCTGATGCTTTGTTTCTAGACTATTTGTGGGTGGCTGTTTGTTGTTTCACCTATCAATTCGTGTCGATAAAGTATAATAGGGTAAATCCTGTATAGTGATTGATCCGATATAGTGCTTGCATAAAGCAAGTAGTGCAAACACTTGTAGCTGTTATGTATCTTTGTAAGTCATTATAAGCCCTCTTTTGAGGAAGCGCACGAACCCCCCCGTTATAAAAAACAACAAAAAACAAGTGGGCTCCCCCAAAGTCCACGGTATAGTTCGAACACTGGATGTAACCCCCCCCAATAACCAAAACTTGCAAGTACAACCTCCACCACCAATATTTATACCATGGTTAATGGAAACCTAGAATCAGGCTATTAATTAATTATTTGAATCGCGCCTTCAGCGCTTTTATAATCACTAACTTTAACTTACAACTGAGCAGTTCTCAGCACAATATGACTGAAGCGAGGATCACTGGCGCGCTCGAGAATTGTGATGAGATTTGCGCGAGCCATTCCTATCGCGAAGCTGATGGTCAAATATGTGATCTATTTGAATTATTTAGAGAATATTGGTTCTAAATGTGCAGGTGGTTGTTTCTTCATAACAAATGCTACATTGATTAATTTTAAAAAAAAAGTAATTATTGGCCTGCATGATTAATAGGCTAGTCTTATTATAACAAATGCTACAGTTAAGATCTATGGTACATGGCCTTCAGATATTCTAAAAGATGTCAGATTAAATCATTAAGAGCCTGATGAACTGTTAAGGAGTAAGAAATAATATCAATATGAGAAAATGTTAAGTTAGATTGGCATGTTGAATTAGAACATTCTGTCAAACTATAGTTTATAAGTGCCTAAATAATATAAAACACACACACACACAGATATATGTATGTGTGTGTGTGTGTGTGTGTGTGTGTGTAAACAAGTAATTGTTAACTATGATGTTACTTTATTGCACCAACTTTGCAAATAAGCAAACAAACAAATAAATAAACCTTATGAGTGAGCATGACCCGGGACTCTACTAAAACAGTTCACACTGTCCCCCCCCCCAATGTTCAAACCAAAACTAAGCCCTTGGAGGTGTGAAACCCTCCAACATGAATATCAATCATATTTGTTTAGTGAATTGACAATTCCTTTAGTAATTTCCATGCTTAATTTTGCCAGTTCAAATATGTTGTATGTGATTCTGTTATTTTCACTGTTCTTTTCGTTGTTCTGTCATATTTTAACTTTCATTTAATGGCTCATTTAATGACTCATCAGTGCTCATTTAGAGCTGCTGCAGTGCAGCGGTTCAGTAATCACATGACATTTTTCTGTCATAATGTAGGGAACCACTCATTATACACACTTTCTTTGCAATTTAAATTTCTGTACGAACAATTTAACTACAAACTTGCCAGCAATTTGAGTGAGTAAGGAATGTGTGCTCAACATGTGTGTCTCTGTGTTGCAGCAACTATACAGATCTGAATATTGAATTCATATTCCATATTGTATTAAGCCATATTGCATTTACATTATAGACCTTCTTAAAGGGATAGTCCACATACAAATTCAAATTGTCAGCATTTACTCACCCTCATGTCGTTCCAAACCTGTATGACTTTCTGTATTTCTGTGGAACACAAAAAATATATATTTTGAAGAGTGTTGGTCACTAAACAGTTTTAGATCTTATTCACTTTCATTGTATGTACAAAAATGCAATGGAAGTCAATGTGAACTAAAACTGTTTGGTTATCAAAATTCTTTCATTTGTGTTCAGCAGAAGAAAGAAAACCCTGGTTAAAAACCTGGTTAAAAGCATCTCTTATCTATGCATTTCAGGTAACGTTCTCTGAACCTTTATCTTACATTGGGGCGACATCTTCTGAGTTCGAGGAAGAGCCTGTCCAAGGTCGGAAGGTCAGCAAAGTCATCAAAACTATGGTTGTGCAAGGTGAACGAATGGAAAAACTAATTGGAGACCCTTCACTCTCATCGGATCTCCCATCAGCCAAAGACGACTTTGAAAAGGTCTAGATATTTGCTTCTTGTCTAATGCAGTGACATTTAAACATTTTATGGATGCTATCCAAATACTTTATTGGTCATAGTAAATACTATAGTAAATATTATGTATGCCATATAGCTTTATTTTCAACACTAGCTCACTGTTCAAGAGGTACTAAATGTCTTGTTTGCATTCTCTTCTCGGCTCAGTAATTTCTCTCTCGTACTGTATGTCTAGGCTTTGAGCTATGTAGGAAGCTTTGGAAAAGTGCACCTGCCTCATTTAGTTGAGAAAGAGATGGTCAAAGAGGATGGATCAGTGGTCAGAAGGTCTGGACATTGGCACGTCCGTTTAACATGTAGCTGTTTAGGAGAATGGTGTGATAATAAAAGAGCAGTTACTAATACCTAATCCACCAAGTGTTACAACAAAATACATTTTTAAAGATGTCCAATTATGCCTCTTTTTACAAGAATGATGTCCCCAGATTCAGAGTGTCTCTGAAGTTTCAGCTCAAAATGTCCCACAGATCATTTATTATACCATACTATAAACGTCCCCTTTTGCCTGGAAGCAAAAACATGCTGTTCTTGAAAGCTTATGTTACAAAACATGTGAATGTAAACAGCTGCATGTGTATCAGTCTATTAGATCTGTGACATAGTGTCTCTTGGACATGATGACAGCACACTACTAACGCAATTCAACCAAGCCCCCCCTTTTTTTTTGCCTTGGGCGGGAATTTTTTTAATTCAGGGTATTGTGATGTGTACATTCCAGGAAGAAGAAAAAAATCTCAGGACTACAATCGAGGCATTTGAGGAAGTTTAGAAACAGCACTTATTGATAGTGAATCATTTCCTTTGGAGTGGACTTTGTGCTTTGCAGATCTTTTTCATGCACAAACAGCAACATTACACACTAAAAAGGAAGTTGAAATGTAAAAAAGCATAATAGGACCCCTTTAACATGACAGACTGTTTTCACAGTTTATTGATAATTTAAAAAAGGGTACGATGCTAAATCAGAAAGTTTGGTGTTTGAAATATGAGAGGTTATGCAGATAAAAATGTCATTGCAGAGGCATGTTTGTGATAAAAACCAACCTGCTTTGTATCCTTCTAAGCTACAGTGTGTTATTTTACTGACATATTCTCATACTCACTTGAGCCATTACTTTTTGCATGCTGATAAGTTTTCTAGAACATCAGATTTGGAGACAGTTTTTATGAATGCATTCAATGTTTTTTTTTGTTTTTTACTGCACCAGTTTACACCAGCACATATTTGTTGGTTAATTCAGGCTGGTAGGCCAGTATTACAATGCTATTCAGCAGCAGTTTTTTTGGTTTTGTTTAGTTTTTTTCGCAACCTGCAAAAAATGCAGTCTATAGCCTCTATTTTGACCTGAATTCATGTATAAATTAATTAAAGATAAATTAAAGGCAAACAGCTGCTAAAGTAAGACTGGTCAATAAGGCTAAGTGATGTGTCATTTGCAGTTATATATCTTTAATGTCTGGAGAGTGTAACTAAACTGTTATTCAAAGGAATGGCAATATTCAATGGCAATATAATAAACTAATAATTCAATTTCAAAGATGTTCACATCTTTTCACACCAGTTGTGACTCTGCCATGTTGATTTTTTAGGACCCGGATGCATAAGTCGCGCACTCATAAAAGCACAGTAGTGAAGGATGGCCAAGCCAAACAAACCCACCTGGAACGACTGGAGGACACCCCGGATTCCCTGCGACCCGATGACCTACAGCAGCATCTGCATCAGCTGCTTCAACGCTACTGTACCCCAGAGGTGACCGAAGAGCCTGATGTAGGACAAGATTCAGACACAGGAGAGCAGGACAAACAATAAGGCATCACCTCCTGCTGTATGTGTGTTTGGTTGTGGCAGGCATTTAATACAAATTTCTGCATATTTATGTCTGTAGCCCTTTCTAATAGCACAAAATAATTATTCACTTGCTTACCAGATCCCCTTATATTATTTATTGCTTGATCTTTTCATTCATGGCAAATAATGGAAACATTTTAACTGCATTATGGCTGAAAGTCTTTTTTGTTTTGTTCCTGCCTCCTGATCCTTTTTTGTGTGTGTGACCAAAGATAGTGTTACCTGAATTGCTGAGTGATTTGTATGAAACATAGATGTTTTGTATGTGTGTGCGTGTCATTTTGGTTGCTGTGGTACTGTAGAAGCAGAAATAAACATAATAATAAAAAAAATGAATATGGGTCAGTTTGGATGCTGAGCTCATTGTCTGGCCACTAAAGGTGTGAAGACATTTGTAAATAATGGCCTTTGATTGAAAATGTTTAAAAACACTGTCATATACTCCTTTGTCTCCTGTAACTGCTGTACAACTGCATCAATGGACTGCTGTAATTAAAAACATGTCAGATTACTTGCTCAAAATCTCACAACAGACCTGATGAAATATCATCAAAATATCTTTGGGGCATGTGAGTTTGTAACCACAGTTAATCAAGTGCAAGCAATCAGCCATCTGATATAACTGGCTATGTATTTATACTGGCTATGACTGAGATTTAAAAGCAACAAATAAATATCATGCAGTAGTCTTTCTTAATCCCAGAATGCTTCTGAATGGTTTTTACACAGTTTACGTGAGAATTTATCAGTTTTAAGTGAAAGAATGCTGTCATTATCTACACATCCAGTTATTTTGTGTCATTGACCTATTTGTTTTCACTGTTTAACCTATGTGTGTGTTCTCAGATCTCCTCTGTGACAATGCAATTATGTTTGTTTATTGAAAACATTTTCTTTTTCTTTTTGAACGAGTTAAATAAATCCCATTTTCTGTTTTGTGCAGTCCCATTTTTTTGTTTTTTTGTTTAAGTATGACTGAATTCAATGATAATTTGAGTCCCCCTCCAAAACTGTGCTTGTGGGCTTGACTTGTATCTTCCTTATTTGTGATGCTCCTGTAGGCGCTTACAGTAGAACTCAGAACAGGGAGGGAAAGTGATGAAAATTTTGCCTGTTTTGTTTATTTTTTTTCCTCTGCTGTTGCAATGATGTAAAATAATAACAATAATAATAAAAAATGAAACAAATCTCACTGTTACCTTATCTTCTATTAGGAAAAATATGCTGAATTTAAGAAATTTAAGAAGTGTTTAAGAACACTTCATAGGAGACAGGCAAATATTGCCTTAATTGAGCTTTGATTCAATTTCTTTGAACAATTTAACTTTCATTTTGTAATGTTTTGAGAACATACACTACTATTTAAAAGTTTGGTTATACTGTACTTTACTGAAGTTATGTTTCTCATAAGTTTGAAACAAAGACATGCTAAAATGAATTAAAGCCTGCATTTTGTAGACAAATATAAATTGTCTTTACAGTCAAAAATGAAAATAATGTGCTTTTGTATATATGAATTGGAGCAAATCCTAAAGGAAAAGCAGCCAAGTGTCCTCCTTCAATACTGTTGAAAAGCATCAGGTTTGTTTAGATAATGTCATGACCAAGAATGTCCATATTCATAAGGTACGTACGATTAGTTTACTTTGTAATGAACAATAGCATGCACACTTTCAAGAGTGTAATTGAGGATTCACAAATGGTTTGGATTATTTAATCCCATCCAGGCCAAAGCCCCGTTCACACCAAGAACGATAACTATAAAGATAATGATATTAGCGTCCACACCAGCGAACAATATCGTCTGTTTATTCTAAAGCGCACATGCGTCTGCCGCTTTAAATTCTTGAGCTCGTTACAGCAGGATGGATTCTG